AATGCCACGTGGCCAAAAAAAACAAAAAAGAGGGAAAAAATCATCTTCTGGAGTGAAAATGGCTTAAGTAAAATTAGTAGCATGAAAAGTGTCTTCAAGGGGGGCTGGAGTGATAGCACAGCAGGTAGGGCGTTTGCCTTGCACGCGGCTGACCCAGGTTCGATTCCCAGCATCCCATATGGTCCCCTGAGCACCGCCAGGGATAATTCCTGAGTGCAGAGCCAGGAGTGACCCCTGTACATCACCGAGTGTGACCCAAAAAGAAAAAAAAAAAGTGTCATCAAGCCAAGTTCAGTCCCCTAGAACTAACTGACTAGAAAAAGGTGGCTTCACTGGTGCTTACCTGGTTAACACCTAAGTCCAGCTTCACAGTTCTCTTTTTTTCAGCTAATGAGGAGGACTGAATTCTGGGGAAGAGCTGCTATGAGGATGCCTTTCCCAGATCCTAAAAGGAAGGGAAAGGACGTAATTATCCTGTGTCAACCTAAAGGCGCCATCTGCAGTTCTTTTCTGTGACTGCACCAAGCCTGTCCCTTCTATTTTATTAGGATCGCCCACTGTTAAAGAAATAAGAAAAACAAGAGATATTAAACTCAGTCAGGAAATTCTCAAAAGCCTCCAGGGCCCTAGAGTAAAGCAAACAGCTTTTAAGACACAGCACCTAGGACAACAGCTATAGACCGTGGTCGGCTGGAAGCTCGATGAGCAACGGGAAAAAAAAGAAGCAAATACATTCTTCAGGCTGCTTGATTTAAAGGATGATATATCATCCAGACCTTGAGAACTTAATAGCCCCACAGCACCCCGTTCTGTCTGAACACATCTGACAATTGCATTTAGTTCTGGGCACCACAATTTAAGAGCAATATTGACAAGAGCCATAAAAATGGTCGTGCCCTTTGACCCCAGTAATCCCACCTATGGGAATTTATTCTGAAATAATTCAAGAGAATAGATGAATTAGACACAGGAAAATATCAATGCAGCATTTTAATAACATAAAATATCATTTATATCCTAAATGTTTCTCAAAAAGAGGGCATTATACAGCATTAAAATATAAATGAAGTATTTGAAAAAATATGTAAGATGGTGTATTCTATGATATGGATGAAATTGAAAACATGTTAAATAAAAGAAGCCAGACACAAAAAAAGACATATTGTGTCTTCATTCATATAAAAAGTTCATGAATTTAAAAAAAAAAGTTCATGGGGCTGGAGTAATATTACATAGGATTGGGCAATTGCCTTCACGTGGCAGACCTGAGGTTCAATGCCCCAGTACCCCAACTGGTTCTCTGAGCCCCACCAGGAATGATTCCTGAGCACGGAACTAGGATAAAGCCCTGACCACAGCTAAGTGTGGCCCCAAAGTAAAGCAAAAATTCAGGACAGAGGCTGAAGATATGGCTCCGTGCTTGAGGCCTTAGGTCAGAGACATGATTTCCTGAGCACTTCCAGGTGTGGTCCAACCACTCCACCACCATCACCACCCCCCAGAAAAGAAAAAAGGTCCAGGATAAGTAAACCTCTAGAAACACAAACTAGATTAGTAGTTGCAGGACTGCAGAAGAGCAGGTGAACAGTAGTGATTGCTAGTGGATAGCAGGTTTATTTGACAGCCCTTTGAGTATACAATAAAAAACCCAAATTGTATCTTTTCAAAGGGAAAATGAATGACATATGAACTCTCTGCCATTAATATATATGCATATATATATATATAAAACATATGAATGTCTATAGATTTGGGGGAATTGGGCCACACCAAGCAGTGCTGGGGGCTACTCCTGGCTCTGTGCTCAGGCATTGGTCCTGGCAACATTCAGGGGACTATGTGGTTCCTGGGACTGAACTAGGGTAAACTGTATGCAAAGTAAGTTCCTTAACCCCTATATTATTTCTTTATTCCATATGTATAGATTTTTATAGTTTTACAAAATACATTTTTTTTTGCCTTTTGGGTCACACCCAGCGATACACAGGGGTTCCTCCTGGCTCTGCACTCAGAAATTACTCCTGGGGGTGCTCAGGGGATGCTGGGAATTGAACCTGGGTCAGCCGTGTGCAAGGCAAATGCCCTACCCACTGTGCTATCGCTCCAGCCCCTCACCAGACTCCTTGAAATACAATTTTTTTAAAATTTTTTGCTTTTTGGGTCACACCCAGAGATGCACAGGGGTTACCCCTGGCTCATGCACTCAGGAATTACTCCTGGCGGTGCTCAGGGGACCATAAGGGATGCTGGGAATCGAACCCGGGTCGGTCGCGTACAAGGCAAACGCCCTACCCGCTGTGCTACTGCTCCGGCCCTCAAAATACAATTTTTATAGAACAACGGGTAGGGCATTTGTCTTGCACGCAGCTGATCTGGGTTTGATCCCTCTGTCCCCCTCGGAGAGCCCGGCAAGCTACCCAGAGTATCCCACCCACACAGCAGAGCCCAGCAAGCTCCCCATGGTGTATTTGATATCCCAAACACAGTAACAACTAGTCTCACAATGGAGACATTACTGGTGCCCGCTTGAGCAAATTGATGAACAACGGGAGGACGGTACTACAGTGCAGTGCTACAAAATATTCTATATATGCATGTGTTCATGAAGTCTTCAATATATATATAATTCAGTGAAAGGTGAAAAGCTGTATAAAGGTGTGTCCTTGATTCAATAATGTAAAGGTTAATTATCCACATTTATAAATGAAGACTTGTAGAGATCACGGATAAATAAAAAGTTTGATGGCCTTTTGAGTTTGGAGGTGGGCAGCCATTGTTTCACTTTCAACAATTAAACATTTTCTTCCCAAAATAGTGTCCACAAGAGGGCAGACAAACCATTTAGCCAAATCATTTAGCACAAGTCCCAGCTGAAAAGTCAGGTACCCAGAATCCAATGCTGAAACAATCTTTTTTTTTGGGGGGGGGGTCACACCTGGCGTTGCACAGAGGTTACTCCTGGCTTATGCTCTCAGGAATTGCTCCTGGCAGTCCTCAGGGGACCATATGGGACACTGGGAATCGAACCCTGGTGGGCCCCATGCAAGGCAAACGCCCTACCCGCTGTGCTATTGCTCCAGCCCCTGAAACAGTCTTAAAGGTCGGCAAAGTTCAACTTCCTCACATGACAAGAAACTATAGTGTTTTTAAACAAGCTTAAAGGAAAAGAATGGAAGGATACGAAATGAAGGGCTGGTTCTTCTCCAGACAGAACTAGAAAGAGATACAATGAAGTTAATTACTGTGATTTTTATAGCACATAGTGTAGATGGAAAAGTTCTGTTTCAAGTAATCCCTTGCAAACATTCCAAGTAAAGTCTTATGGATGAGTCGTAAGTAAAAGTAAAAGTAAAGGCCCTCCCGTTGCTCATCGATTTGCTCGAGCAGGTCTAGTAACGTCTCCATTGGAGATTTTGTTGTTACTGTGTCTGGCATATCGAATACTCTCGGTAGCTTGCCGGGCTCTCCGAGAGGGGCGGAGGAATCGAACTCGGGTCGGCCATGTTGGCTGTGTACAAGGCAAACGCCCTACCGCTGTGCTTGATGGCCGAGTGGTCTAAGACGCCAGACTCATGAATGAGTCGTAAAGATTCAAAAAAAAAAAGAGATACAAGAAGCAATTTCAGAACAATAAAATTACTTAACAAATGAGGATGGAGAAGGGTGTAGACAAGTCAGCGAATTCTAGTTCAGAACTTCTTTTGAGGGAACACATCTGGCAGAGCTGTGGTTCTTTACTGGGGTCATTCCTGTGGTATTCAAGGAACCACCGAGTGCCTGGAATTGAACTGGCTATGTGCAAAACAAGTGCCCGATCCCCTGTACTATCTTACTGATCCCAAATTCCTCTTGTCACAGCATAGTATGTCACAGCATAATATGTGAAATATTTGCATATTTCTCCATTAATTTCAGTGCTCTGCACATTGAAATGCAAAAGTGAAGTAATCTGCCTCTGACTCATCAATGTAACAGGGATAAGTAAAAGATAAGCAGTACATTCTTTAAAAGATTTGTATTGGTTTTAGGAGCCAGAAAGATAAGACAGAGGGTAGGGTGTTTGCCTTGCATGCAGCTGACCCAGGTTAGATCACTGGAATTCCATATGGCCCCTGAGCACCGCCAGGAGTGATTCAGTGAGTTCAGAGGCAGGAGTAAACCCTGAGCATCACCAGGTGTGCCTTCCATCCAGCAAGAAAGAAAGAAAGAAAGAAAGAAAGAAAGAAAGAAAGAAAAGATTTGCATTGGTTTTATACTGTCTTTGACTTCACGATTTTGTTTCGTCTCTACCCCTGACAACTGCCTGGGCTCTGACCCTCACGACATGGTACCAAGGGAAAAGAGGCAGGAATATAATAGTCAAGAAATTAGAGGGGCTTAAGATATAACAGATAAGGGGCTGGAGCAATAGCACAGTGGGTAGGGTGTTTGCCTTGCACGTAGCCGACCTGGGTTCGATTCCCAGCATCCCATATCCCTGAACTCCACCAGGGGTAATTCCTGAGTGCAGAGCCAGGAGTAATCCCTGAGCATCGCTGGGTTGACCCTCAAAAAAAAAAAAAGATACAGCAGATAAGGCACTAGCCTTGCACGTGACTGAGCTGGGTTTGATCTCCAACACCGTATGTGGCCCCCTCCCTCCCACAGGACCTCCAGGAATCATCCCTGTGCACAAAGTCAGGAATAACCCTGAGCAATGCTGAGTTGTGACCCAAAAAAACAAAATCCCAAAACAAAAGAATTCAGGAATTCAAGACACAGTCTTCTACCACTACCGCTTTGTTACCCCTTTTTTGTTGGGGAGTTGGGCCACACTTAGCAGTGCTCAGGAGACCTGCAGGATCGGTCACTGTTTTCTCACCCTTTTAAGTTTTTCTCATCTTCACTGCAAGCAGACTGTTCAATGCTGTCGGGAGACCCAGTGTGGGCAGAGCTGGGTTGGGGCAAACTGTTTTGGTCTCCAAGGAGAAGTCCATCCTCTAAGAAAAGATTTTTTTTTCTCAGCTCCAGGCTCTCCCGGGTTTCCTGAGCCGACTCACGATTTCATACAACGACTGGATCTCTAGGAAGTGCCGCTGAGCTTCCTCTGGTTGGTGTTGGTTGTGGTCAGGGCGCCAGAGTTTCACTAGCTCCGGGAATCTCTGGTCTATTTCTTCATCTGTGGCGCCCTCTGAGATTCCCAAGACCTTAGGAAAACAGAAATTAACAATTAGAGGCCACATACTCTTTTTTCTCCCTGCTGTTTTGCATAAACCAGCAGGGGGATCTCTGGAAATGGTCAGTTCCAAAGACCCAGAGTCTCAGACCTCAGCCTGCTTCAGCTTTTGTTGGTTGTTTTGAGGTCACACCTAGTGGTGCTCAGGGCTTTCTCCTGGCCCTGAACTCAGCGATCCCTCCTGGCAGGGCTTGGAAAACCACATGGGGTGCCATGATAGCACCTGGTCAGCTGTGTGCAAGGCAGAGGCCTTACCCGCAGTATTATCTCTCTGGCCTCAGGGCCTAGACTGTTGAAACATGGACAATTTCTGAATCTCAAGGCAAAAACCAAGATCTCGCTTTAATCATGCTGTTCATTCTCCAACCTGGAACTTCACATCCCTGACATATACGCAAGAGAAATAAGCAGATATGTACCAGAGACATATATAAGACTGTTCACAACAGTTCTATTAAGAATAGTCCCCAGCTGGCTACAATCCAAATGTTTGGGGGCTGAGGATGTAGCATACCATGTATTTGTAAGACCCTGGGTTTGATCCTCAGTATCACCAAAATGAAGCAACCAAGGGTTGATATGATATGGAGATGGTATTGTCCTACAATGAGATTTATATAACAATGAAAACAGGGGACAGAGAGATAGTACCGTGGATAGACTGCTTGCCTGCACATGACCGACCCAGGTTTATTTCTGGCATCCCATAAGGTTTCCCAAGCCCACCAGGAGTGATCCTTCAGTGGAGACCAGGAGTAACCCCTGAGCACCCACTGATGTGGCCTCAAAAAAAAAAAACAACAAAAACCCCAGTGAAAACAATTTACAACTGCACGCAACAGTATAAAGACATCTCACAAATATATTTAATAAGTCAGACATAGTAGAAATGAAAAAATAAAAGAAGGGTTGGAGAGAGAGTACAGGAGGCATGGCACCTGTCCTGTACATAACCAACCTGGTTTGATCCCCAGGATTCCCTATAGTCCCCTGAATATTGCCAGTAGTCCCTGAGTACAAAGCCAGGAATAAGCTCTGAGCACAACCAAGTATGGCACAAAAAAACAAACAAAAAAAATCAAAAGAAGGATAGTACAGCATGTAGAGCATTTTCCTTGCACGCGGCCAATCTGGGTTGATTCCTGAGTGCATGAGCCAGGAGTAACCCCTGTGCATTGCCGGTTGTGACCCAAAAAGCAAAAAGAAAAAAAAAGGGCAAACCTGGGTTAGAAACATACCAGTCAACTCTGGTTCAAGCCTGAGCACCACATATGGCCCCTTGAGCACTACAATGAGTGATCTCTGAGGGCAAAGCCAGGAATAAGCCCTGAGCACTACCAGGTATGGCAAAAAAATTTTAAAAATTTAAAAGGAGTAGGGAGGCAAAACTAATGTTGCCTCAGAAATCAGACTAGAGGTCTAATTAGAGGTCACCTCTGAGGCAAGGAATACAGATTGAGAGGGGACAGGCTGTAACGTTTGTAGACCTAGAAATATGCAATACATATTTCTGAATAGTGATCACACAGATGTATATTAAGTGTACTTTATATGTGCTATTCTTCAGTTAAAAGGGAGTGGTTTACAGTATCTTTTCCCGACTCATGATTAGATTTCATACTCCTTCATCCAGTACACAGAAGCACAAAAAAAAAGCCAGAACATCCTCTGGGCCAACCATGAAAACAACACTTTAAACGTACGAGCCCAGAAAAGACGAAGTCATGAAATTTATATACAAGTGGTACTTGCTAGTATCATGCTAAGTATCATGCTTGAAAGTATCATGCTAAGCGAAATGAGTCAGAAAGAGAGGGACAGACATAGAAAGATTGCATTCATCTGGGGAACATAAAGTAACAAAATAGGAGACTAACACCCAAGAATAGCCAAGATAAGTACCAGGAGGATTACTCCATGGCTTTGAGGACAGCCGCACACGCTAGGGGAAAAGGCAGCTCAGATAGAGAAGGGAGCACCAAATAAAGGGTGTTGGGAGGTTCCTCTCAGGATGGGAAATATATGATGAGAGTAGACTATAGACCGAACAAGACTGCCACTCAATGTCTCTTTTGCAAACCACAGCACTCAAAATGAGAAAGATAACAAAAGGGAATGCCTTGCCACAGAGGCAGGGTGGGATGGGGGGGATGGAGGGTGGGAGGGATACTGGGATCCGTGGTGGTGGGAAATGGGCACTGGTGGAGGGATGGATATTCGATCATTGTATAACTGAAACCCAAGCACAAAAATTTGTAAGTCTACAGCTGTACCTCATGGTGTTTCACTAATAAAAATTTAAGAAAAAAAAAAACAACTTACAGGCCACCCCCAAGGAGGATTAGTCTAACTCACAGAGCCATTCTAGACCTAAACGAGAGGAAGAAAATCTTACCTGGTAAACCAGCTGATGCGTCTCATCTTGAAAACTTTGAACAAGCTCATAGAGCTTATCCCACTCCTGAAAGGAGCTGCTAAAGCCGGGGTCCCCCACCGAGAGCCTCCAAACCCGGTAAGGCAGAGGGCAGGCGGACTCCAAGAAGTGGCCAAGGAGGGAGAAGAAGCTGAACCAACTCGATAAAGAGCCAAGGGTCTCTGCCACATAGCTGAGGGTGGCAGTGGTGTGACACAGGGCACTGTATGCCAAGGGGCCGGTGAAAGCAAGGTAAGCCAAGCCCAGATGGCAGAGTCACGCACCAAGTGTCTCTGACCTCACAGAGGCTTTGTAGCGATGATGCTTCTGAGCTGCGATGCTGGCTGCTAAGATAATGGGCAGGATAGCAACTGGGCATTCATAGAAGATGGGGGAAGTGAAGTAAGGCTGACCTAAGCGTGTTCTTGACATCTGAGGTCCGGTTGCCAACGACAGCCACCAGCAAGACCTCTAAGCCAACTGCCAGTGGGAGGCCCACAATATAGAAGTTGGCCATGAAAGAAAGACTAATGAGAGCCACAAGGCCAAAATAGATGCCCACTACTCCAGCCATTGCAAAACAAATGACACTCAGTGGGGACCTCCCCCGACCTGCACTCTGCCTGTGCCCTTGGGCTCTGCTGGCCTGGGCTACAAAGCTTGGGAGCTTCCAGAACTCCCACCCACCACCCTCCAAAGTAAGCATCCAGAGCAATGCATGGCTGTCCCGCCCCAAGCACAGGTGATGGAGTCCGGCAGGGCCCCCCACAGCCCAGAAACACATAGGTCACCAGGAGACCTTTGGCCATTCTTTGCAGAAAGAGTGTCAGCACAGGTCCAAGGAACCCGGGCACCACTACAAGTGAAGGTTGGGGTCCTCTGTAAGATTTTGGGCTGCCATGGCCAGAGTTATCCTCAGACCCTAAGAGAAAGGAAAAAACAGAGGTAAGACAATATCAGGTTCGGGGCCGGAGCGATAGCATAGCGGGTTGGGCATTTGCCTTGCACACAGCCGACCTGGGTTCGATCCCCAGCATCCCATGTGGTCCCCCAAGCACCGCCAGGAGCCAGGAGTAATTCCTGAGTGCAGAGCCAGGAATAACCCCTGAGCATCGCTGGGTGTGACTCAAAAAAAAAAAAAGATTCCAGCACAGTAATATTTTCTCTTTCCAAAGCAGATATCTGGTTCAATAGGTAAAGTGCTTGACTTGCCTGGGTCGGCCTGCTCAATTCCTGGCACTGCCAGAAACACCTCCAAGCACGGAACCAGAAGTCCCTGCCCATCACCATCAGGTGTAGCCCCAAAACCCCAAAAATATTTTTTTTTTGCTTTTTGGGTCACACCCAGTGATGCTCAGAGGTTATGGCTCTACACTCAGGAATTACTCCCGGTGGTGCTCGGGGGACCATATGGGATGCCGGGGATCGAAACGGGGTCAGCTATGTGCAAGGCAAATGCCCTTCCCACTGTGCTATCTCTCCGGCCCAAATAAAAAGAAAAAAAAAAGGAATAAAAAACTAATTCAGATCTTCCTGAGTATCCCTGAACTACTGGTTCTCCTACATCTTTAATCAGCTATAGCGAAGTCAAATTTGGTGGAGAAATAACTTCAATTTGATAACTGAGGAATATGCAGACAAAAAACTAACAGAAAACCCATCAGAACACAAAAGCTTAAATTTTAGGCCTCTCTCATGCCTCTTGACTCCTGCCATGCAAACAGGAAATAGAGTAAACAGGAGTGAACAGAAGGTCCTTCAAAGTTGCTACTGTAGCACTGTCATCCCCTTGTTGATTGATTTGTTCCAGCGGGCACCAGTAATGTCTCCATTGTGACACTTGTTGTTACTGTTTTTGGCGTTTCCAATACACAACAAGGAGTAGCTTGACAGGCTCTGCTGAGCTGGCGGGATACTCTTGGTAGCTTGCCGGGCTCTCCGAGAAGGACGAAGTTGCTACACACTTTTAAAATCTCCTCCAGGGGCTAGAGTGATAGCACAGCAGATAGGGCATTTGCCTTGCATGCGGCTGACCCGGGTTCAATTCCAGACATCCCATATGGTCCCCGAGCACCGCCAGGAGTGATTCCTGAGTGCAGAGCCAGGAGTAATCCCTGAGCATCGCCAAGTGTGACCCAAAAAGCAATCTCCTCCACCACTTCCCGTCCCAGTTCCTTTTGGGGACCTTCAGATACTCAGAAGCTTTAGGACAGGTGCTCTCTCCAGCTCTCCAGGACAGGAAATCTTCCCAAGTCAAACTTAAAAGAGGTTTTTCGTTCCTTCTACTTAAAACAACTCCAGAAAATCATTTCCTGTTTGCTTGGTTTGGGGCAGTAACCTGGTGGTGCTCATGATCACTCCTGGTCGGTGCTGGGGAGGCTCATACATGCTTACTAGATAGAACTGGAGTCCGCTGCATGCAAGGCAAGTGCTCTCTCTCTCTATGTTATCTCCTGTGGAAGATAATTACTCTGTTTGGGGGAGGGGGACCATACCTTTGTGCTCACAGCTACTTCTAGCTCCATGCTCCGGGTGGCTCTAGTTGCTGCTTAGGAGACCGTGGGTTGCCGGGGTACCAACCCAGCCTCCAACATGCAAAGCCTGACTGTGGAACTGGCTCTCTGGCCTGGAAAAGTACATGCCTAGACCCTGGCATCCCACCATTCAACCACCTCCTACCGTGGCAGGCTTGCAAAAATTCTCCAAAGGCTCCAGCACTTCAAACCTAAGAGCCAAAGAGCCCCTGGTGCTTCCCGACTGGCTTCATGAGCACCTGCCGCGACCCGCTCGGTCCCAGGACCGTACCTGCGTCCCCGGCTCCCTGCGGTCACACCAGGCTTCTCCTCGGACCGCACAGTCCAGATGGCCCCTCTCACAGCTCCCACTGCACCCGGACGGACTTTGGCTTGCAGTGTTTGCCGTGCCAGGAAGTCGGCTCTGGCAGTGTGACTCCGGCCCCTCCCCGAGCCCAGTCGGGACAGCCGCAGCGCACCCCCAATCACCCCCAATCACCTTCAGGCTCGGGCTCCTGCTGCCCTGGCGGCCGCGGGGCTGGAGGGTTCCCAGGCGCCGGGCGCGCCCACTCCCGGCCGAGCGCCCGCACGCGAGCCCGCGGCCGCCAGGTGGCGCTGCGGCTCGAAGACGCGCCAGTCGGGCGGGTCTTGAGGTTCACCTTGTCCAGCGGCTGGGGCACAGCTGCCCGGGCGGTCCCCTTGAAACGCCAAAGTACGACGTTGAAGGCCCCGTCCCACCCGCACCAATGTAAGATGACTCCTTCCTCACCTCCGATTGCATTACTTTTTTGCTCTCCCCTCTTATCGCCCTTCAGTCCTGCCTTGATGGTTCCATTCCTCTAATTCCTCGGTGGCTCCACTTGCAGTTCCTCTAGGCCCGCCCACAGGCTTCGGAGGAGCCCTGCCGAGCACCCCCCGCCCCACCTCGAGTTTGCCTCCAGAGTGGGAGCACTACCTCCAGACCTGAGCGGGAGCCCCGAGCCTGCTTGTGCACGGGCTGGGCACGAGGGAGAGGCGAGCAGAAAGGGGCAGGTGGCTAGAGGCGAGGCCGTCGCCCTCCTCCGGCCCGGCACGGACGCGGGCGTGGAGCTGGGGGTGCAAGATGCAGGGATGCAAAACGCCTTCAACGCAATAACCGGGCTCCAACCCTGGTTCTGCTACGTGACCTTGGCCAAGTCAAACCGCTTCTTAGGCCCGTTGCCTTCCGTCAGGAGAGGTTTAAGAGTTTAAGAGGTTTAAGAGGTGTCAGCCTTGATTTGGGAGGGTCATGGGGGGAGGGGAGGGCATCGCCCATCGCCCATCGCCCATCGCCCATCGCCCCGCTCACTGGGCTGAGCGCATCTGCTCCCTCCACTCGCCCACAGCCGCCCTCGGTCCTTCTCCGGGCCCGGGAGGGAAGGCGACTCGCCGGATAGGCCCCGAAGGCTCGCGGAGAGCCCCCCAAAGAGACGCGGGAGCAGCCGGCGTGGGTGCGGCGCGGACAGGAGCGCTGAATAATGAATGAGACTTAATTGGGCCCGCGCTGAGCAGCGGCGCGCTAAGCTCGGCAAACAGCTCGGGCGGCGGAGGCAGCCGCTGGACAAACAAACTAGCCGTGGGCTGGGAGCGGGGTGGGGGGGCGGCTGGCCTGGGGGGTGGGGAGGGTGGGGTGGGGGGCGCCGCGGCGGGAGGGGGAGGGAGGGAAGGGCGGGCCGCTGGCTTGGCCGCTGGAGCCACCCGGCGCGCGGGGCTGCCTGGGGGACCCCCGAGAGCCGAGGTCCCCCGGGCGATGCCTGGAGGGGGCGAGGCGCGGGAGGTGTGGCTGAAGCGCGGGGACCCAGGGCGCCAGGAGCGCGCGGGGAAGATGGAAAACCGCGCGGGGGACGGAGGCGAGAGGGGAAATGGGAGGAAAAGGCGCGCCCGGGAGGGGCCGCCGGGGTGAGCGTCGGGGAAAGCGCCGTTAGCCCGGGGAGAAAGAAGAGCGATGGGGGCGGCCGCGCGGGGCCGGGAGAGGAATTGGAGCCGAGTCAAGGAGAGGGACGGGAGGTGACCGGAATGCCAAGGAGCGGCGGGCGGGCGGCGCCCCCTGCTGCCGCCTGGCCCCGCCGCGCGCCCGCCCCGCCGCTCGCCAGCCGCCCGCACTCACTTTGTCACAATTACGGGGCCGTCACTCGGCCCGGATTGTTTTTCCCCAAATTGTTGTTCTGTAAACTGGCGCGGGGTGGGGAGGGCGGAGGAGGATGTGACAAGCCCAAGTGGGGAGGGGCGAGAGCCGCGAGCTCAGCTCACCCCCCACGAACGCGGGGCGGGCAGGTGGGTCCCGAGGACCGTCGCCCTCCGGCTCTCAGCCCCTGCGCCTCGGTTTCTCCAACCGAGGGCTTGTCTGGGCGGGAGCGGGGGCCGCCACCGAGGAGGCATTAGGTGGGGCCCAAACTTTCCGGCTCTCTGAGTCTCTCTTTTTTTTTTTTTTGCTTTTTGGGTCACACCCGGGGATGCACAGGGGTTACTCCTGGCTCTGCACTCACGAATGACTCCTGGCGGTACTCAGGGGACCATATGGGATGCTGGGATTCGAACCCGGCTAGTCCCGTGCAAGGCAAACGCCCTACCCGCTGTGCTATGCTATCATTCCAGCCCCCTCTTTTGTTTTTGACTGCCGTGGTCACTAGCAGAGGGGATCCTCCCCAAGGTCGCCACCCCAGGGTCCCCTCCCTCGGATGCTCGCTCCCCTCACCCCCCCACCCGCCCAACCCCGGGCCTCCCAGCCCCGCTCGGCGTTACTGGGCGCCCGCGCCGCTCTGCGGGCCCTGAATACCGCAAACATCTGTTGCGCGCCCCCCGCGAGCCGGAGACTGCGGCCGCCTCCCCCGCCACCCGCCCTGCCCGGCCCGCCCGGCCTGTCGGCTTCGTGACAGCCGCCGCCGAGGCGCGGGCCCCGCGGGAGCGGCCGGAGAGGCGCGGCTGCGTGGTTGGCTCCGACGCCGGCCTCCCCGGCGGCTCCAGGGGCAACGGAGGGTGGAGGCCGCTGAAGCGCGACCGGAGCAGGCCCGCAGAGTTGGCAGAGCCGGGCGGGGGCAGGGGCGGGGCGGGGCGGGCTGCGCTCGGCCTCCGGGGCCTGCCGGTCTCCTCATTCCGTCGCCCAGGGGTTCGGGGGGCCGGGGCCCCGCCTAGCTCCGCGCTCCCCCCTCCCCCAGTCCGGGTGATTTACACGCGGGCTCGGCGCCGCGGCCGCTTCCCAATCAGGAATATCGACCCCGGGCGGGGCCCCCGGGCCGCATCGATCCCTCTAAGGCTCGGGATTTAAAAATGTCAAATTTGCCTTTTCCAGGCGGGCGGAGGGGGCAGGGGCCCGAAGAAGGGCGGCTGGGGAGGAGGGCGCGGGGTGGGGGGGAACAGCGGGGCATCGACCAAGCCTCTGTGCCCGGAATGAGAAGTGACCCGGCCAAGGCCGGGCCCTGGCACTAGGCAGCCTTCCTGGGTTGCCTCTGGATGGTCAGAAAGGAGCCTCGCTCCCTATTCCTGTTGCCAAGGGCCCTTCGGTTGCACTGGGATAGTCCTGACACAGATTTGGTGGTTATCCCTAAATGTAGATTCATGCACACAAGGAGAGGTTTGCAGACACAGAGACCCTAAGAGGGGAGACGGAAAGGGAAAGCCAGAATGAAGCAGGACAAGAGACGCAGAATCACCCCAGCTCTGGAGAGAAGGCCCAGGCTCAATCTGTCAGTGTGCTGGAGTTGGGGAGTCGAGGACAGAGAAAGCTCAGGGAGGAGAGCGTTTCTATGGAAAAGAGTTAAATACACCTAGCATTATCCCGAGGTGTCAACTGCTGAACTTGAGACATCCCGGAAAAAGGGTCTATGAGGAGAGGTACATGCTCTTGGGGCTCTAAGGGTCTGTCTTCCCGGACCAAATACCTGCCCCTCTCACGCCCACCCACCCAGCAAGTCAGAAATCCCATCCTATGTGGGAGGGAGCTGCACTTGGGAAACTCAGCAGTGACCACTTTCTTCTCTGGCACTTAGGAAGCATCAGCCACTCCTTCCAGGAGGCTTGGGTGACGGATTGATGTTGGGGCAAAGTGGGTGATGGGAGCACTTGTCTAGACCAGCATTGTCACAGTTAACATCTCTCCCCACCCCCAGCAGCACACCTCAGCTGTCACCATGCACACTGCCATTTCCTACAGGACTGGAGACAGCTGACAGAGCTGGTGGACTGTGAGTGTGGGGAGGGGGGCACAGGCACCCTCAGGAGAGGCGGCGGCTCGTCTTCAGACACATGCAGCACACCCGTAATGACAAAACCAGGATCACGAATTCCTACACCGAGACACAGTCACTGACCACCCCCCCCCCCAGCCTCCATCAATCCCTGTCACCTCCCACCCCCCACCCGCTGTCCATCTCCTCACCCAGTCTTAAAGCCTGTGTGTACACCCTTCCTTGCACTTTCTACCTTAAATTGCCTAACCTGTGAGGAAGGGTGGATTTCTGATTTTTTTTGGTACCCCCTTCCCCATCAAGCTCCCCAAATTCTACAAGAGGCCAAGCACCTGAGCTCAAAGGAAGTCAAGTGCCCTTGTCAAAGCAGAGAAGAGGGAGCTGACCTAGGGTGGCGGGTGGGAGGTGGTGTTAAACACCTCGGGATCCTCTCCTTCCTGCCACTGGCCTCTTTCCCAGCACGTCCACGTCCACGCGCGGGCCGCCGGGCCCGCCGGCCGCCTGTCAGCGGAGTAATGAATGCGCGCTCCCGGCCCCGGTCCCCCCACCCCCAAGTCGTTCATCAATGCCAGCACCGCCCCCAGCTCCGTAGCCCGCGGGGAAGGCTAAACGGCCCAGGCGGCCAGCACCCCTCTTCCACTACCTCCCCACTCGACCACTAATTGTCAGATTGAGATGTTGATTTGTCAGCTGGGAGCTGGCGCCCAGGCAGCTGCAGTAAACCCGGCCTTCTTGAACTTCCTTCGGGCACTATTCGGGCTCGCTCAAGCCCGGAGCTTTTCTGCTTTGGTTTTTATTGGGTTTTTAAACCCCGCTTTTCGCTCACACCCGGCGATGCCCAGGAGTTCCTCCCGGCTCTGCACTCAGGAATTGCTCCTGGCGGTGCGGGATGCGGAGATTGAACCCGGGTGGGCTGCGTGCCGGGTGCTTTTTGGGATCTGATGTGGATGCTTAGGATTTCACTCCGGAGAGCCAGGGAGCAGAGGCGCAGTACCGCTGTGGTCCGATAGAAGGCGCCCCGGGCCACGGCGCCTCAGTTTCCCCGAGGGGCTCGTCTGGGGCGTCTGGGGCGCAGTGCCACAGGTGCAGACCCAGGCCCTAGGACTCTGTGCCCAAGTCCCCAGGAGAGGGCGCCTGCAGCT